GCTTTAGTAGAGCCAACTGAGCAATCAGGCCTCCAATAGGAGCTGTGAGTTTAAATTAAAATTGTACTCAAATAGTGCTTTGGCTACCCTTAAACTCTCTCACCTGGTCAGACCCCCGTGTTGGAAATGGGGGTCCTTTTCAGAACAGAAACGAAAAAGACACTCTGCCTATATTTTCAGCTATACCAGGAGGATGCTTTAAGTAAGTGTCAAGAACTTTAGTTCTTATAGGAGGATCCTCGTTGAATATCTTCACTAAAATGTCGGACTTCTTATATGGCTCCCATGATCCAGCACAAGAATAGGGCCATCCGGTTCGAGGTCACGCTGCTCATAATTCCAGACTTAGTGAATATTCTCTATTCATCATTCTTACAATAGCCTAAACTAGGCTGATTTTGCTTAAATTGATCTCACAGAAGACATGCGCAGGAATATTCTTCCCTGAACGCCTTTGGTAGGAGAGTATGCGTTATTCGACTTTTTACTTGAGGAAAATGTTACCCTCTGATTTAAGATACTTTAGCAATTGCCTGTTACACCAAAAGCCAAGGTTACCAAACTTTTGTAGCTTGTTTCTTCAGAAAACCACACATTTAAAGAGCTATGAGGAAGGGTTCACCAAATTCTCATAAAATTTTGCACTGAACGAAGATTGCGTTGTATGCTTCCTAGGCAACATTAACACAATCGACGGCTTCCATAAAATCCTATCATACAAAGCTTTTTTGGCAAAAGAAGTTCATGTAGTGCACCTCATATACCGCTTGTCCCAAAATGTTGTCCTACAGAAACGTTGGTTATAGGGTTTTCTTGGGGGTAGGAAAATAGGATACGCAGGGACAGACATTTTAGAAGTAAATGTAAAGTGAAAAAAATGCAGTCGTAGTTGCTTCCCGTGGTCGTTGGGAGTAAGTTGTTCCGCATGAAAAGTTAAGGTGTGCGCGGCGCTTCGCGCCGCGGACTATACTGATCTAACTTCAGAACGGTAAACTGGACCGCAGGTAAGTTGAACTAGAAGACCTCCTAACCCCCATTCCTATTTTTCATGAATTTTAAGAAACCCGCATTGTGATAATTGAGTTTTTCTGCAATACGCTAAGTAATAATACAGCTTAGGAAAACCTACAGATATAAATCAACAAAATTTCTAAATGCAATAAAATAGAAATGCATATAACAGTTATTTAAGTATATTCCGCTGTCCCCAACCCATTAAACCCTATAATCACCGTCTTTGTAGTAAAAAATACTGGGACTAGGGATTAATGAGGTGCACTGCATAAAATACTATTGCCGATTTCCGCATCGAAATTTAGTTTAGAATTTATTTCAAGGCAGTGAGTCTAATGCAAGTCATGACCGTCATCTGACCAATAAGCCTTACTTCACGCGGGCTTCTTCTAAAGCACCGTTGCCCTTTTTAACTTTAATCTGCTGCTTCTCTTATCTCCTTCTTTCATGCTGACTTCTCCCACCCCTTCCCCCATTTCTGCTTCCTTTAACTTTTATTACGCATCTCCATCTTCTTGGCGACTCTGCGAATCGCCAGTGCGTTTACGGTTAGGAGCTTACAGGTGGCAAAACGCCCGCCGTTGGCAGACCAGGAGACACATGCTGTCGTGTGTGCGCGCGCGTGTGAATTTTGATCAGTCGTCACCGGACAGTCTGGACTATATCTCGTCATAACTGTGCTAAGTAAGTGTCAATAAATTTACTCTGCATAGGAAAATTTTATTTGACTACCTCCACCTAAAAGCTGTACTTCTAATAAAAACAAAATATTTGCTGATGGAGGTAAGCAGAGTACGGAGGGTCGTTTCAGGGCTGCAGGAGGAGTACACATTTTACATGACATTTCGCACGGCACGTTGATCTCGTTGTATGCTTTGTACACAACACTATGAGATATGTATTGTGAATAAACACTTAGAGGTCCGATGGCAAAATTATAAAAAACTGTTTTAATCAAAGGATACCATGTTGTGTGTGTGCGCGCGTGGATGTTGATCAGTCGTTGTCGTCAGGTGGACAGGTAGGCCAGCCGATTTGACGGGATTACTTATAGGGTTCCCTTATCCTGACGCAGGAATCGGGATATCCAGTCTGTCGTCAGGCAGCTCCTACTTCTAGACTACGTTATCATTATTATCGTGTCCTCATTTTTACAACGGCCTAAGCGTTAATCTACAGAATATGTTGTAGCTCAGTTTTTTTTCGATTAAAACAAACTATTTTAGTTGATTGGTGCAGCATACTCCCAAGATATCCCATTCGGCTTTGTAGGAGCGTTCTTTTTAGAGCTAACAAGAAGTATTCTATGTAGGAAATG